GGATAAAGAGCCATCCCTCTCTCCATCATTTACCAGAAATAGGCAAGTCCATATATGGTGAATGATGTCACTGGGTATCCCTGCAGACTGGCAAGCATCCGATCAGCAGGGATCCCCAGTGACATCATTCATCATATATGGACTTGCCCATATGTGGTAAATGATGAAGAGAGAGAGTGGGCTCCTTCCCCTCTCTCTCTCCCTGCCCTGTGTGACGCTGACATCAATCAAATCACCGGGGATCGCTGATGAGAGAGGGGAAAGAGGGCTTTCTCTTCAGCATTTACCACATATGGGCAAGTCCATATATGGTGAATGATGTCACTGGGGATCCCTGCAGACTGGCAAGCATCCGATCAGCAGGGATCTCCAGTGATATCATTCACCATATATGGACTTGCCCATATGTGATAAATGCTGAAGAGAGAGCTTCTGACCCGGGACAAGATCTTCTCAATGCACTGCACACTACATGTGAAGTAGGTGAGACAGATGGAGAGGAGGAGGGAGGGGATCAAGGGCTACACAGCAGCGTGTCTGGAAGGCTGGCACAGAGGACGGGGACGTGCAGGTAAGGAGAGAGCTGCGTGCACTGAGCTGCTGCGCATATATTCGTCCATATATTCGTGGACGCGCAACAGCTCTCAAGAATCACTGTCAGTCACAGTGACGAAGATCAGTGGGGAGGATCCCGGCAGCATTCCCCGCCCACCATCTTAAAGAAGGGTTTACAGGCTTAGGGTGCATTTTGGCTAATATGAGTAAATTACACAATTTACTTATTTAGCCTAAGGAATGCAATAATAAAGAAAAGATCGAACCCCATAGTTCTCCTTTAAGTGGACTGATAACACATCTGACTTATAGCAAATGCTTTACCCATACTACGGTCACTATCCCTAATACCAAAAGACATAGTCCTAGTGAACTCTCACTGCACTCTGAGGAGTACTGACACTGGATTTTTACATTCTTCAGTTTGAAGCCTAGGAAATTTTGATCAGTTTCCAAATAAATATACATCCTGTCACTGAACATATTTTATACTTGTGTAATAGATATTTATTCTCACCTGTTTTGTTGTTTCTGGTTTATCATATAAAGTTTCACTGCTGCATTCTGATGATAGGTTGTACGCTTCCTTTAGTGTTTTTTTCCCAACAGTCTCATGCTCTATGCTCATTCTCTGTTTCTATAGGTAAAGCAATCATTATTTACTGCTCATATTTGTATATTATCAATATACTATGCAGTGCTTACAGAGACTATGGAACCGTTTACATCGGTCCTTTCTAGGGTTGCCACCTGTCCAGGATTGACCCGGACAGTTTGGTTTTTGAGTCCTGTGTCCAGGTGTCAGGCCAACTGACGCCTAGGTCCCCAGTGAGGACCTCATGAAGCTGCATCTACCTGGATCGCCATCTTCCTGTGCCGGTGACCTTCCTCCTCCTGTGCTTCATTCCTGACACCACTCTGCCCGCCTCCGACTGGACCCCTAGTGAGACCCCTGCACATCCACCTGAAAGTCTGCATAGCCCATCTGAGAGCCCGCAGAGTCCACCTGAAATTCCATGGAGTCCACCTGAGAGCCCTAGAGACATCAGGGCGCCACCCCCGGAACAACAGAGAGTATGTAGCTTTATATTATTTTATATTGCTGTATCATATATTGTTAGGATTTGTATTCCTCTATAGCTGGTCTCCTTACTACCTCCCTCTCCTCACTCTATCCTCTATACTCTCCGAAAAATATTTTTTTGCACACGGCTCTAGGTGTTCGGGTTTAATTTGAAGGAGAGGTGGCAACTCTAGTTTACAGTCATATGGCCCTTCCACCATAAAGTTTACAGTCATATGGCCCTTCCACCATAAAGTTTACAGTCATATGGCCCTTCCACCATAACGTTTAGTCATATGGCCCTTCCACCATAACGTTTACAGTCATATGGCCCTTCCACCATAAGGTTTACAGTCATATGGCTCTACTACAATCATATTCAGGGCATTTTTAGCAGCATGTTAATAAAATGTACAAACGATGTAATGTGTGCAAGTGAAAACCCCCATGTCTATAAACACACTATAGACACATACACACTACAATCAGAAGGCATTGAAGTTTTTGATCTTGAAAATTAGATCACTTACAGGAAACTCAGGAAGATGCATAAAAGCATATAAATTATATGCAGACAGAAACGTATTTCAGCTTGGTGCCCCAGTACTGTAAGGACATAGTGCCAACTATCAGTTGCCCATCTGCTTTCTACAAGCTTACCACCAACTAATAAATATCTTTCTCTAACAATGTTTTGTCAGAAACAGAAACAATGTTTTGTCAGAAACAATGTGGCAATAACCGCCTTAACATTTTGGTAAATCTCAACCCCAAACATATCAAACAGCACCTAAGTAAGTAAGGCAGGGATCGCAAATCTGCCCTAAGGTTGCATTCACACCTGAGTCGGAGCGTAGCCAGGCGATTTAGCTGCTTTTCTCTTTTTTTTGTGGCTTTGCATTCGCTGGCTCTGGATAGGCAGAGCCAGCTGTCAATCCCGCAGCCTGGTGGATCCAGACAGTATTGTCGGGATCCGTCCCGGCTGCGGCGTCTCAGTATACCGCTAACAAAATACCCAGTGCTTTAGTGTATGGGAGAGCATGTGACCCCCTACTATGATGCAGTGCTTGAGCTTGTCATACACAGGATGAAGGTGGTGATGTCAATGCCCCCTCTGAACTCCAATACCAGCCAACATTGGTTATTTTGGTTGGGGTGGAGCAAGGAGTGGCGGGGGAGGGCTGGAAAGGTGCATATCAGTGTGTGGGGTGCTTTACAAAAACTCTGCCATTTTATCTTGGATGGGCAAGGTCACAGTGTCCCTATAAAGATTAGTTGAATACTTAGGAGTGAGGTTCAAGTACAAGGAGTTAGTTAGGTTGAGGTTATGGGTTAGGTTTGAGGATTTATTTAAGGTTGAGGTTACAGGGTTAAGTGTACGATGAAGGTAACATATTTTTACTGTTAGCAGGGGCGTAACTAGAAATCACAGGGCCCCATAGCAAAATTTTGTAAGGAGCCCGGTGATTTCTAATTACGCCCACCTGATATCCCAAACAACCCACCTGAGAGTGACCCTGCAAAGCCTACCATAGACTCTCTATGGTGGGCTCTGCAGGGTCTCAGGTGGGCTGGTCAAACCCTCTTACCTGTCAACCCTGATCGCTCTCCGCCTCCTCCATCGCTGGGCCCCGCCTCCTCTATTGCTGGGCCCCGCCTCCATCACTGGTCCCACCCCCTCCTTTGCTGCCGATGCCGGGCCCAGCCTCCTCCTCGGCAACTGCTGGCTGTCACTGACCCAGCAGCGGCTGTGAGGAGGAATGCGCCGCTTCACAGATCACTGACAGGTTGTCAGTGATCTGAACAAGCGGCGTGTGTCTCCTCCTCACAGCCGCCAGTGACAGCCAGTCAGCCTGAGATGCCATAGCGACCCGAGCAGCTAGCACAGCATCAGGGGGATGTCCTGGCCGGGCTCCCCTGTGCCACTGGCCCAATAGCAGCCGCCTGGGTTGCTCTGGTGATTGTTCTGCCACTGAATGTTAGATTTTTGGGTGTGATAAATTAGTTGGAGCTGCAAATAAAGTGGCCCAAACAACTGCATCAGTTATATCATATTTACAGTATCAAATATTAATGCACAGCCTCACGGTGGCTGCTTTTCGGGAGACTGCTGCATATGGTTGGAGATGATTTAGGTTCACTCTAAGGAAATTCATTGTGTGTTCTTCAATAAAGAGAAGATAAACAGTATGACTGCGTAAAAAAATATTTACCTGCTCTTTCCAGTTCTGCAAAGCCTTCTTGTGCTCACTTTGAAGAGCGAGGAACTTTTCCTCATTTTCTGTTGCATTTGCCCTTTGAAGCTCATTATCTCTCTCAAGGGTCTGCAATAAAATTAATTATCCAAAAAATAATCAATACCACATTAATGAATTTTGATGTGTTTTATGTAGCTTGGACCTTTGTTTCGAACATGCTAGAAGTGCCACACAGATCAGCGGTAATGCGCTATCAACAATCATTTTCATAAATTAACAGAAAGGTGCTTATAGTTTAGCTAACAGGAAAACAGTGGGAGTTTGGAGAGAAGAAATGGCAATAAAAGGATATAAAAACACTTGCCATTACTCAGATTCACTGCATGGGTTTTAATGTGCAAGAGAGAAAAATAAAATAATAATATGAAGTGCAGAGCTGAGAAATCTAAAGTGTAGCACCGTGCAATAATGGTCTCACATAATATAAAAACTGGTAATAACAGAGATTATATCAGCGTACTTATTAATAGAATGCAGGGCATAATAGCCATTGGACCTGTCTGCATAATGAAACATCCATGTTCGCATGTCCTATTTACATTTATATACTCAAACATATGGAACGCAAAGACGCACTTCAAAAGTGTATTCAGAGCGGTGAAAATGAGGGCTTTAGCACTTCCAAAGACATAGGCTTTCTTTCTGCGTTTACTCAATGCTAGCATCGCTGTCATTTTGATGAATTGAGGTGATTCTGCATGAATCAACAGTAACAGTTCACACACAATTCAGGTTCTCCTGGAATTTTCAGTTTAATCATATTTTTTTCCCTCGGCTGTAAGGATAAAAGGCTTTGCCTCCATGACAATGAACCGATTCCAGCCTCTACAAGATGTAAACACGGGCTCGAGCGGACAATGGCTGTCAATGTAAGAAGCACTGGATCAATTATATTTATGAGTCGTTGCTTTTATTTTTTTGGATTCACATCAGAGCGCTTAGTCAAGGATGAAATTATAAAATGTAACAGAATTCCCCTCGACTTCAGCTTTTGACTGCAAATTATGGAGGGCCTTTCTTGAGTAAAATAAAACTGGTTTCGCTAAATTCTTATTTTACGCACAAGTGTAATTTATGAGAGAATTAAATGCTTGATGGAAAAAAAAAATCACTAAACCTCCCCATTTTGTGACTACTTATTCTGTCTCATTGCTCATAAAGCATAAGTCTATAGATGCCACGGCTTACATACCATACAGCGATCAGGGCTAGCTAGGCCTAAATAGAGGATGAAGCAGAGGAAACAGAGACCCACTGAGGGCCTGGTTGCCTAACTTGTGTTGCCACTCTACAAACAATATCAGACTGCTCGGTCTAATGAGAATGCATTATCTCAAATAATGGCTGCCAGAGTCTGCAATAATGGGCATTTCCTCACTTCTTAGCAGCCATTTTGTGCATCCTAACTGGAAGGGCCAACCTTATGATGAGGCAGCCTCAGGTGGGTGAGGGGAGCGGGGGGTTGCGGGAGGACGGCCATAGTGTCCTAGGTTGCTTAGAGCTGTTAGCAACCTGTGACACTCTGTGAGGTGTGGCTTCACACCCAGCTTTCTGATGTCACCGGTTGCCAGGACCTGAGCAGGGACCCTCTGGCTTGTGTTCTGCCTAGCTCCTGGCAACCAGTGACTTTAGTGAGCTGGAAAGAGCCCATTCTGACAGCAACCTCC